TGAGTGTGATTTAAGACAGCAATTTGGGGTGGGAATTGCAACTTGTTACTGTGTAGCCTGAGGGAGGGGATTTCAGTCTTGGGTTCACCTATGTAAGTGCCCATACTTTGTTTCCTAAATAAAATGTTCTTTAAGGAAGAAACCTTTGCCTTGAAGTTCTTTTAAATGGTTTCATCTATGGGAACCATGACAGCTGCTTGGCCTGGGATCCCGACAGGGCCCTGCTGACCCGGGAGAGGAGCCCCCTCTCCCAGGATGGCCAGCATGGTGGTTTATAGCCTGTCTCTTCCATTTCTCCCATTTTAATTGTTTTCTGGCATTTTGAAAAAAGTTTTCTTATATCGTAAGGGGCCCAGAGGGATAATATCAGTGAGATGGGTGGCATAGAAAAGGAAGAATAAAGAAAGGGAGGGAGGGAAGGAAGGAGGAAGGAAGGACGAGGCCAATCCCAGATCCGGCTTGTAAGGGATCCAACCTTCCTTGGCGCTGTTTTGGGAACAACAGCAGCTCCTTCCTGGTGTGGAGGCAACAATTGCTCCTTTGTGAGTCTTGCCAAACCACCTTCAAGGCTCCCCCCCCCCAACTCCTGGCCCCGAGCAGAAGCCAGAGGTCCCTTCACTTCGGGGCTGCTGCCTGGACAGGGACAAGGTCGAGACTGGGGGATTCTGGGAGATGAAGTCCAGGGCGGCTGAAGGGGCCAAGGCTGAGGAAGCAACTTTGAACCCCCGACCCTGGTTCCCAGAGTTCCAGCTTGCTCCGTCCCCCCCAAACACCCAGAGGGTCAACCCCACGGCTGGGTTTCGCTTGAGCAGCCACCTCCTTCCTAAATAGCCAAGCGAAAGGGCCTCCTGGCCAAGGAACATGGGAGCTGTAGTGCAGGGCAATGGGTGGTGAACGGCTGATTCTGCTCAGTTGTAACGCAGAGATGGGGACGGAGGTTTCACATAACAGGTTGCAGGATGAGGGTGCAAAGTGTTCCCCCCCTTGGCTCTGGGTCTTTGATGTGGGGCTGTGGGTTCCCCCCCCAGCTCTCCCCACCTCAAATATCTTGACATCCAGGAGCAAAATCCAGGAAGAGATATTTCCAAACTGGGGGGGGGGCAGGACTGAAGCATGGCAGGTAGCAGCCCCATCAGTTCTCCCCCCTCCTTTCCAGAAACTCACTCTCTTCTAGCACTGATGGTGTTCTCTAGTTGGGTCAGGAAAAGTCTGCAAGGAAACACCCAGCTCAGGGATCTGTTCATTCCGGCAGGTTCTGAAGGAAAGTTAGAAAAACCTCGCTCAGAAAAAGGGAAAGTCATCCTGTCATCAGCAGCCCCCAGACCCAGAGGAGGTGGGGGGCTCCCCTTGTCTGGATGCCCTCAAGGGGTGGGGGCTAATCAGCCACGGATCTGGGGTGCTTTCCTTTGGATTGCTGCACTGAGCAGGGGCTGGGCTGGATGACCTCAGGGAACATTTCAAACTGTAGGATTCCCTCCGTGACATCCGTCCTGGCAGAGAGTGAATCCGTCAACTTCTTTTGTGCAAACAGAACTACTTCCTGATCGGTAGCCACGAAAATCCATTCTCACACAGAGCTTTTTCTCCCA